TTTCAAGTAAAAAAATTTATACAAACATGTGTCCTAAACGGCTAAGTTTACGAAATAAAAAAATTTAAACGTGTAGTAATAATCTGTTTCGTTTAGAACAGCTTCTTCTAGTATTGATGTTCTAACTGTCACAAGCTTTCTAAGATCAACAGTATTTCTTACAAAAGAACCTTTTTCTCGAAGATAGCGGTGAATATTTGCAAATGTTTTACGACATGGTAAATTGTATCTTTCTGCATAAATACGACTTGCCTCACGTGAGTTACTATTTGTAAGACCGTAGGCAAAGTGCATATCTGTGCGTCATTTAAAAATTTGTAAACTTAGGCATGATGAAACCGATTTTGATGGACTGAAACAATTTGGCCCGAAAACGTATGCACAAGCTAACCGACCCGTAGCAACATGAGAACTGAAGCCTATTTTTGATTTTATGACTTTGTCACTTTGTTTACGGTCGTGAGAATGGTAACTCACGTGAAGCAAGGCATATTTACGCAGGAAGCATTATCTTCAACGCAATTTATTGTTTCGTCAAACATTTGCGAACATTCATCTGTATTTCGAAAACTAAGCTGTTTAGGACACATGTTTATATAAACTTTTTTACTTGAAATAAACCAAAGAATCGCTCTGTTGAGTATGGCAACATACTTAACTAACACCCTGTATATGTGTATGTTACAGCCTGTGTATATATGTGTGTATGTTAAAAGCAATGATGGAAACTGATTAAATGTAAAAGTAAAGCCTGAAACAATACGAAATGTAATCAGAGAACAAGATATAATGGCCGTACAGCTAGACGAAAACTTTTCATAAGTTCAGTTAATAAACAAAAATGACTAGAATTTGCAAATTTTCATATTTGCATATTAACAAGGATGAAAACTTTTGGAGTAATGTTATATTCAGTAATGAATATAAATTCATCATTTTCAATTCAGACTGAGACAATAAAGTTTGGAGGAAACCAAACACACAAATGGAACCTAAACACTTATATCCAACTTATATTCAACATTTAAACATGGAGACGGCGCGATGTGATGGTTTGGGGATGTATGAGTGTTGCGGATGTTGGATCTTTAATATTTATTGACAGTATTATGGAGCAACATATTTACCTTAAAATTTTGAAAGAGAATTTGGTCCGTAGTGTAGTAAAATTAAATTTAGAAGAGTCGTTTATCTTCCAGCAAGATAATGACTCTAAACATACGACATGAAAGAATGGCTATTATACAATGTTCCGAGACACACACCCCCATAGCTCCATACACTCCCCCAATCGCCTGATGTCAACCCGATTGAACATTTATAGAGTGAAATCAAAAGATTGAAAAAACACAATATTAAAAACAAAGAAGATTTGAGATCTAAAATATTATTTGAGTAGAATATATCTATATTTATCCAATATTCAACCGGATTTAACAAAACAATTTGTTGGTACAATACCTAAAAATTTCAAGAAATTATTAAACTAAAAAGAGGACCAACTGACCATTAATTTAAAAGTAACAGTTAATAAACTTACATGTACAGAGATTTTTTTGACCACATTTTTCTTATGTTTATCTTTTTATTTATTTTTCTTGTTAACAAATAAATGTGTTTTTCTTTCATTAATAATAATTGTTGCGTTTCTGAATATAATAACGTAAAAATTATTTATTCCTGACCTTCCCTTTGAGAAATATACAACGTTAAATAAATTCGCGGTGTACGGAGACATTTCTGACTGACTGTAAGTATAGATATAAGTATAGATATAATAATAGATATAAGTATATGTTCCGGACGGCCGTTGGGTGTCCATGCGGAGCGGGTACGGCGGGCGGCCGAGCCCTAGGCGCCGCTCAACTCGCGGTCGCCGGCCTCCCGTCGCCAGTGCGCGCCGTCGCCGCGACGCGGCGAGCGCGTCAGCCGGAGCCGCTTCTCGCGGTTAATTCTCGCTTAGGCGCCTATATAAGGCGCCGCGCGAGACCACTCCACTCCTTTTGCCTGTTGCCAGCTTTGACTGCGGTTGCACCAGCAGGTATTCTTTTAAGCTCTAGCTCTAGCTTCAACTCGCCTTCTTGAGTGCGCAAGCACGTTGGGCACTTATCTCGCCAGAGGTATACGTTTGCATATCTGCATCGATCTTCACTGCTTTAAAAGTGTCATAGACACGTTGGCATTCGGGTTTGGGTCTTCGCAGCCCTTTAGAGTGCGCTTGCACGTTGGGCTACTGCCTCTAGAGTGTCCAAGGACACGTTGGCATCTGTGTTACGAAGTGTATGGTAACTCCACGGATCTCCACCTTCTCAATACGATCGAGGATTGAGAGAAGGCTTCGCGCGACCACTTCGGATTACCTTGACGCCTCCACCGCGGTGGACGTCTCTCTTCGCGATATCTCCCGTATTGCATACCGGGTATCAGCGCCGACAGAACTTAGGTCGGGCTCACGACTCCGCGCGAGTCGTAAGTTTTTTTTCGAAACTCTGCTGCCAGGGCCGCAGCTCTCACGCGAGGCACACTCGCTATTGTTTCGCTGCCAGGGCCGCAGCTCTCATGCGAGGCACACTCGCTATTGTTTTGCTGCCAGGGCCGCAGCTCTCACGAGAGGCACACTCGCTATTGCGACGCTTCCAGGGCCGGGCAACTCCACGCGGACCCTACTCCGGGCACGCCGTGTTCTTAGACTCAAGAACACGCTGGTACTTTCCTCCCACCATCTTACGAGGCTCCTGAATAGGAGAGTGCGAATTATACTCGCGCATTTAAAGATAGAGATCGACGGTACTTCGACGGCATACGAACTAGCCGCATACCAACTAGAGCTGTTCGAAACATTGGTCCTTCGAGGCGGATCGACTACCGATCGGCTCTACCGCGCGAATTTCGGTGCTAATCAGCTTAGCGCACGAAGTTGCCAACATCTGCCATGGCATCTGCTGAGGAGCTGTTGCAGCACGTACAGGGCGAGCCTTCTTGCGGCATCATCCCATCACTGACGCAGGTTATCAGGACGCATGGGCGGCTTTGTGCGAGCGCTATGACAACGAGCGGTTGCTGGTCGAGCAATACTTGCACGCCTTTTTCGCGCTACCGCCCATGAAGCGCGAGTCAGCAGCCGAACTCCGGCGAGTATTCGACCAGACGTGCGAGGTCCGCTCATCACTACATCAGCTGGGAAGACGGAATGGGACGATATTTGGGTATACCGAACGGTCACTGCTCTCGATGCCGTCACTCGTCGAGATTGGGAGCGAGCCACAAACAAGATACGCCAGCCGGTGCGCTGGAGCACTCTCGCAGACTTTCTCAAGGCCAAACTCCGAGAACTGGAGGCAGTCGAGGGCAAGTCCCGGACGGCGGGCGGGGCGGTCGACGACGCCCGACTCCAAGAGCCCCAGCGCAAAGCATGCACGCACACGGTTCAGGCTTCGGGTCGTAAGGGCCGCTGCGCCCAGTGTTCCAAGCCGCACCCCCTCTGGGACTGCACTGCCTTCCGGGGTCTCACGACGGTTGAGCGCCGCCGATGTGTCGCGGACTGGCGACGCTGTTTTAATTGCCTCTCCGAGTCATCGGCGTGATCAGTGCACGTCCACCCGACGCTGCAACAACTGCGGTGCAGACCACCACACGCTACTGCACCAAGAGCCTCGCACGTCTCCGGAGCGGGAACCGACGGCCGCCGTCTCCGCGATACAGGCGATCTCCCGACGATCCGCTGGGCGAGCACTGTTAGCAACGGCACGCGTGCAGCTGCTTGGGGAGGATTGGCGCACCCTCACCGTCCAAGCGCTGATCAATCCGGGGTCGGAGGTCAATCTCATCGCCGAGAACGCAGTTCAGCATCTCGGAGCCCGTCGACGACCCGCGCATGTGCGACTGACCGGCGCGATCGACAGCCGCGGACAGCGAGTGCGAGCGGTCGCCTCGCTCCGGATGCGAGCAACGGCGGGACCGCCGTTTCAGCGAGGCCTGGAGGCCCTCATTGTGCCCCGCTTGACCACCTATCGGCCGATCGTGGCAGAGCTCCCAGCAGAGTGGTCGCACCTCGCCGGTCTGTCGTTAGCGGACGACCACCAAGCCGCGGATCCCGTGATGGCGGTGTTGGGGGCGAAGGTGTATGCCGCCATCGTGTTGCTGGAAATCCGGCGAGGACCGGCTCGGACGCCGATCGCACAAGCAACCCGACTGGGGTGGCTCCTTTTAGAAGCCACGGTGCCGGAGCTAGAGGATCATCGCGTTCACTGCCATACCCTGCGCTGTGAGGACGAGCCGCTTCACGACCAGCTTCGGCGCTTCTGGGAGTTGGAGGAGTTGCCCAGCACTCCCACTCTCAGCCCCGATGAGGACTGCGAGCGGCACTTCGTCACCACACATGCCCGACAGCGGGACGGGCGGTATCAGGTTCGCATTCCATTCAAGATCAACGCCGCACTCGGTGATTCGCGGCCTGCGGCGCGAGCGTCGCTGGCGCGCTTGGAGCGCCGGTTCCAAGCTCATCCCGAGCTCCAAAAGGCCTATCGGGCTTTCCTGGACGACTACAAGTGCCGCGGGCACATGCATCGCGTCAGCGAGGACACCGACGACGGCCGCCCTATTTTCTTCCTGCCGCATCACCCGTGATCAAGGGCCTTATGCCAGTACGGCAACCGGCCTCCCGGGTGGGCAGCTGCGCCCGGGAGTAGTAAGATCCTCGGTGAATACTTCACCGGGGATCCACAGCGGGGGCAGGGCGGGCTCCTGAGGCTCCGTTGAGCCAAACCGCCCTGGGGGGCGGCCCTAAAAGCCGCCCGGGTTGGGGGGCCGCCGTCAAGCCCCCCATTAAAATCATGATGGAACAACGAAAAAAAGGAACGACTTCCGGCGGGTCGGATACGTCGGGCCGGCGCGGGGGGGCTGTGGTCCCAGGCACCCCCGTGTCGTCAACGGACGATGGGTCACAAGAAACCGGCGCGTCAACGGCGGGCGCGTCGGCGGGTATCGCAACCGCCGAGGAAATGGGGGAGACAGATAGGAAGGATAAGGACAAAATGGAGGGAGGGGAAAAGAGAAGGAAGCTGGACAAGGAGGAAGAGGATGTGGACAAGGATGAAGGGGATGACGAAAGGGAGATGGCAAGGAGAATCGAGACAGCGGTGAGAAGTGCTCTCGGCCGGGTCAGAGATGAGGGAATGGAGATGTATAGGGGAGAGGAAGAAAGCGGAGAGGAAGAGATGGACGAGGAGCAGGAAGAGAAAGGAAATAAGGGCTGGCCGGACCCGGAGAACAAGCTCAAGAACCGGGATTTTGTCCTCACCCGGATTGGGTTCGCTACGGATAGTGCCAACCTTATCGAGCAGGCCACCACTAAGAGCAAGAGATTGAGCAAGGCAGAAAAGGTTACCATCACCGGGCATAGTGACGCACTGAGGAGATATTGCAAGGAAATTGGAAAAGTGTTTAAATTAAGGACAGAGGCATTGGAAGAAAGTGTTAGGGGATGGGAAGAATGGTGGAATGAAAGGAAAGGCAGAGAAAATAAGAGGTGGAAGGAGTTAGAGGAATGGGAAAGGAAAGGAAAGCAATGGGAGGCCGAAAGGAGTGAATGGGTACGCAAAGAAAAGGAATGGGATAAGGAGAGGAAGTTATGGGAAGCTAAAGAGGGAGTTTGGAAGATAGACAGGAAGGGATGGGATATGGACATAAAGCAGTGGACCAAGGAAAGGGAACAATGGATAAAGGAAAGGGAAGAAGCGGCGAACACGACGGCGGAGTTGGCCGCACGGAGTGGGATTATGGTGGATCGGGCCGTGTCTCCGTTTCCGGAGGCGCGGCCCGATCTGAGGGACAGGGCGACGTCCCCGATGCGGGACGTCGCGCAGGGGCGCCGGGCGGCGGTGGCCGCTGGGGCGCCGTCGACTGGGGGGGGGCCTTCCGTCCCCGCCGGGCCCGCCGCGGTCCTCTCGCGGGCTCGTGACTGGGTCGCGGCGGGTGGGGCGGGCGGAAGAAGAAGAGGAGGGGGCCCTAAATGGGAAGAAAGGAGGGCGCCGGGCTCGGGGCGCCTGGCGGTGCCCCGGGTGCCGGCGATGCCGCCGACGACAGCGGTGGTGGCCATTCGGGTGGGGGGGGTCTCTCGTACGCAGAGGCTATCCGCAGGGTGCGGGAGGTCCCCCTCCAGGGAGTGGGGGTCCGTCCGGCCTTCGTGAGGAGAGCCGCGAATGGCGGCCTCCTCCTGGGGCTGGCGGGCCCGGACAGGGAGAGGAGAGACCGGGAAGCCGACGACCTGGCCGATAAGGTCAGGGCGGCGCTCCCCGGGGCCTCGGTAACAAGGCCCAGGAGGTATGGGGAGGTCCGGCTCGTCGGTATTGACGAGTCGGTCCT